CCGAATCTTTAAACTGTAAATCGAACCACCTACCGCCACCCCCCCACCCCCATCCCCCGAATCTTAAAATCTGGAATCCAAAAACCTCAGAATCTTTAAACTGGGAATCGAAAACCCCCCGAATCTTTAGAATCTGAAATCCAAAAACCCCCGAATCTTTAAACTGGGAATTGAAAAAACCCCGAATCTTTAAAATCTGAAATCCAAAAACCCTCGAATCAATCTGAAATCGAAATTAAACTGGGAATCAAAAAAAACCCCGAATCTTTAAACTGGGAATCGGATAACCCTCGAATCTTTAAATCCGTAATCCAAAAACCCCCGAATCTTTAATCTGTAAATTCGAAACCCCCGAATCTTTAGAATCTGGAAACTAAAACCCCCGAATCTTTTAAACTGAGAATTGAAAACCCGAATCTTAAAATCTGAATCCAAACCCCCGAATCTTTAAACTGTAAATCGAACCCCCCCCCCTCCCCCCGAATCTTTAGAATCTGAAATCCAAAAACCCTTGAATCTTTAAACTGAGAATTGCAAAAACCCCGAATCTTTAAAATCTGAAATCCAAAAACTTCCGAATCTTTAAACTGGGAATCGAAAAAACCCCCAAATCTTTAAAATCAGGAATCGAAAATCCCCCGAATCTTTAAACTGGGAATCGAAAAAACCCCGAATCTTTAAACTGGGAATCGAATAACCCCCGAATCTTTAAAATCTGGAATCCAAAAACCCTCGAATCTGAAATCGAAACTGGGAATCGAAAAAAACCCCGAATCTTTATTAAACTGGGAATCGAAAAAAAACACCCGAATCTTTAAACTGGGAATCGAATAACCCCCGAATCTTTAAACTGGGAATCGAAAACTTGAACCCCGAATCTTTAAACCGGGAATCGAAAACCCCCGAATCTTTAAAATCTGGAATCCAAGAACCCCCGAATCTTGAAACTGGGAATCGAATATCCCGCGAATCTTTAAACTGGGAATCGAAAAAACCCCGAATCTTTAAAATGGGAATCGGATAACCGCGGAATCTTTAAATCCGGAATCCAAAAACCTCCGAAAGGCTTTTTCAGTCCAAGTTTTACAGATTACGGCTTTTCTCATCCCGGGTTATACAGATGAGCATCGGGTGATCTGTGGTGTTGGGTTAAAAACTATCTTTTCAACCGTCATCAGGTTACAGTAATTAATGGTTGTATGTCGGAGTCGATGCCAGTAAGGTTTGGTGTTCCGCAAGGATCTGTTCTTGGTCCAATTCTGTTTTCCTTGTTCTGTAACGACCTACCAGATATCAATAATTCGAATGATGGAGATATTTATATGTATGCAGATGATACCACGTTATATGCCTTTGCACCAACACAAGATCTTGTTGCAGAAATTCTCAACAAAATTTTGAGTAAACTGTATCTCTGGTGTTGCCACAATCAATTAACACCTCATCCAGATAAGACGGAGTATATGATCATGAGTCGAAGAAAATTTATTGGCCCTCTTCAGTGCTTAAAGTTAGGTGAAAATCAGATAAAACTTGTCGAGTCAACAAGATGCTTAGGTCTAGAAATAGATTGTCATTTGAAATGGAACATCCATGTTTCATCTTTAATTATATCGTTTGGCAAAAAACTAAATCTCCTTAAATCATTATATTTCTTACCGATTAACGCAAAACTGGACTTCTACTTCAAAGTTGTTTTACCTTCTATAACTTACGGAATCTTGATATGGGGATCTTGCGGGAAAACTTTGTTTGATGAATTGGAAAAGATACATATTCGCGCAGCAAAGATCATCTTTGGTTTCGATTGGAACACCCCTGGGAAAGACGTCATCAACAAAGCTAAATGGTTCACCCTCAATGATATGCACAAACAACAACTTGTATATCTAGCGTACAAATGCTATCATGAATTATCTCCTCCAACTTTGCAGTCAATCTTTTCGAAAAATGTTCACCGCTACCAACTTAGAAATAAAATGACTTATATCAATCTCCTTTCAAGCTGTTAGTCTATGGAACGGACTGAGCCTTGAACTGAAAATTAGTAGAACGTTTAAAGAATTTAAAAAGTCTGTTAAAGCGCTTAAGTTGTAATAGATGTATGTATATTAGTTTGGGTCATGCAAGTGTCAAATAATGTGAATGTTTGTTATGTGTTTTTATGTGAACAATTATGCTTTAGTGAACAGTTAACTTAGTTACACGACCACATCAGCTATGCTGTAAAATTATCGTGTTAAAATAAATGCTTTTATTATTATTTTTATTATTATTATTAGCATTCCAAACCACAAGGGAGTTCAGACCAACCCATCCGTTTGGCAGTAGCCAATGATAGCAAAGCTTTTGCAAGCTAAACCAATCAGAACTCGTAAAAGTCTGACAAAAACAAACAATGGTGTGGTTCACGGCTTTACGCATTCGTGGCAAATTTGAATATTTCTGCTCGAGGCTTCGAAGTTTAGGGAGTGCACGATAGAAGTTACTGCAACCATACTTCGCTTTTATGAAACTTATTCGAAATAAAATCGATATAGCATGCAAAGAGAAAGGTCAGTATTAAATTTAGCTATTTTTAAAACGTTTTTGAGTTGTTCTTGTTAAGTTCTATATATAGCTAGTTGCTTTTCGAAGCTCGTTTGTAGTATATGCTGTATATTCATTGTATTAATATGTATTGAACTGATTCAAGCGCTTCGTTTCGGCGCTTAGTCGCTTTGTTTCTTTGCTGTTTCTCTCTCATTTTCTAGCAGTTGTGTTCAGAAATACCCCAGTTTTGATTTATTTAACTCATATTTTAATAGTTTATCTGCAATTTCAGGGCGAAGATTTGACGAGAAAGTGAACTAATTTAAGTCGCCATCATGGTCGAAAAGGCGAAGTACTTGGTAAGCATATAATGTCCACTACGGGCGCTTCCGTCTTATTTTTTATTTAACCTTCCCTTATACACCTAGAACGTCTTCTGGTAAAGCTTTGTAACTTTATGAACATTCTTTGTCAAATTTAGTTAAAATTTTGTCCGTACAGAGCGAAATGCCGACTCATTTTAGGCATGTTCAATTCGACATGCATTTCAAACATTTTAGCTTCTACAAACTTATCGTTTATGTACAAATTGACAATTGTACTCCAGAGAGAAGGCTATAGGTTTTTTTGAGTTTTTTTGAGATATTCTTAGTTGAATTTAATCCGAATCTTTTGAAGAAGCTCAGATATGAAATGCCCTCGTGGTTCATGCCCTAATTTTATACATACATACATGCACGAATTCTTTAAAATTAAACTAAATTGTATTGGACAACCACGCCCTGCGTAAACGACATTAAACAACTCTTCACTGTTAAAACTATAATTAATTATCCAACTTTTTTAGATTGCCTCAAGTTCGATTATCTTGACGCAAACAGTACAGAAAGACCTCTGCGCAGATTTGAAGAGACGTTCGCCTAGCAGTCGAAGCAAAACGAGAAGACGGGGAAGGCAAAGGCTGAATGAAGACTATCATCAGCTAACCCACAGCATTCATCGTCGCATTTCGTTTGCCCCAAGTTTGGAAGAGACAGTAAAACTTAATAAGATACACTCATCATCAGATTTCGCTCAGTCAGCCTATTGTGAATGCGTGCAGCCAAGACATGTGTCAAGCCAGGACGCGACGCCGCGGTACCATCGTTTCCAAGACTGGCATGAGGAATTGCCTATACCTAAACCCTGAGCCTATGAAATAGGCGTGAAAGATGCTCGAGCTCTGATGCTGTACATTACAGAAGGTATATTTTCCTCGTAATTCTCGTTGGTCGTGTTCGAAAGTACGTGGGGACCACCCTGAGGACGCCCAAATGCACAAAACAAATTTAAATATGGCACATTTTCCTTAATTTCGCAATTTATTCAAATTTTTCACATTTCTCCGTATTTGTGAAAAGCTGTTTGAAATTCGGAAGGTTCTGTCTGGGAGTTTGTTTATTTGAAAGATATTTGAAATGAAATTTTGAAATTTACATCACTTTGGTATTCGGTTTAAATGCTAGGTAAAATCATGCCAGATGATTGGCCGGCCATTCGTCGAGGTTCGGTGGTACTTCGGCTCGGACTTCCTCGACCTACAGTCGAGTTGTTCTGATCGATTGTCGTGATCAACTAGCACAGGTGCAAGGTCTGGCCAACCTTACATCGGTGCTTTTTGTTCGTGGCATGAGATTGGGGTAGCTCGCTTGTAGGCCTGGAAAGATCAAGCCAAAGTACCGCCAAACTTTGATTTGTGGCCGGCTTTTTGTCTGTATGGCTTTACCCAGCGTTTTCCCGTTATCATTTTGATGCAGACTTTGGAATTTTGGCTTGGATATCTTTTATGTAAACGTTCTTTGAGGTTTAATCTTTCAAGAATTTCATGGTTTTTGACTAGTTAATGTGTTTCTCGCAGATATATAATTGTATTAAAAAAAATTTAACCAAAAAAATTTAAAACTGACCAAAACGTCATTTGAGGTGTCGGATGGGAGGTCCCGTGGGAGTCGTAGCGGATATCAATGGATAAATACGGATTACTGTTTACTATTGGAGATCGATACTGTGAACATTAATGGATTATTATGAACATTGGTGGATTACAACGAACACTTCAGGATTATTGTGAACATTTGTGGATAAAATGTACCTCGCGATCGACGGTTAACCTACCGATGTACCTTGATAACGAAAGCTGCACGACGGCAACGAGACGACTGCCTCAAGGTTAGAGTATTAGTCTGATAACAAGCAGTAGTTAGCTTGCTATCAGGCAGTAGTTAAGGGTTAGCCTGCTATCAGGCAGTAGTTACCCAGGACTCTAATTTGCATGTGTTCGGTGACGTCTCTGGGATAAACCGGTTTAAAAAACCTGGCGGTCTGTCGTTAGTTGTACATTTGCACACAAGGTTGACTTTTATTCAGATGTTTGCATGCTAATAAAAAATGAGGTACAATTTTCACCTCAGTTAATCAGAATTTCGACATAATCTGCAATCGAAAGTCAATCTTAAGAGGTCAACATTTGAGCTTCCGGTCACGTGGTTCGTTGCATGCACTCGCTTCGGTTATTGGTGGGTTTCAGTAAGTGTTGCAATTCAGACGATGGTCAATATCAGAAATTTTGACACCTGCTGGACCAATTTATTTTGCTTCAAATACAAGACTACTACATAAAGTAAAAAAGAGTGAACATTATTTTTTCACTGTAGAAACTCGTACTGAGACCCACTAGCTATTTGCGGTCTGTTCGTGCCAATGTTCTCTTTGTGTAAATGTACTGCTTAGGTGTCTCCGTGTCTGTGCATGGATAAACGCAGCGCGCAACTAGTATCCAGAATATAGGCAGACAAGTAAAACTTTGACAGACTTAAAAATTTTGTTTATATCAATATGTTATGTTCATAAATGTATAGAAATATCATGAAATGTGTTAGGCTTTGGCTTGGGGTTAAATCTAACCCTATAACCTTAACCTTAATCCATTGCATGATCTGTATATTTGTGTATGTAATATATGGGTGTAGCTAAAATTTTGTTGAAAAGCTGGCATAGTTTTCCTTGGGTAGGATAACTAAACTGGGTGCAAATGGTATCCATAGCTTAGAGGGTGCAAATGGTACCCGTAAGAAGATTGGTGGATATCGTTGGACAAGATAAAAAGATCAGCTTAGGACTGTAATGACATAATTATTGTAATGATAAATAGTCCAGGCTTTAGTAAAGACAATAAATTGGCCGTGTATTGCCTAGGAAAGTTGTG